ATTTCAGTCAGTGGTGCATTGCTTGCGTTTCGCGGCAGTAGTTCAAAGATGAAAATAAAAGAGCTGAAGCATTGATGCCGAAAGTCTTTCGTCTTGATTTGCGATGAGGTTCAACCTCAGTACGTGCGACGCCCTACCGAGGAAAAGAGATGGAGCCATCAAAGAAGTAGTTGTAATATTGCCTCCGCATAAACGTATAAGAAGACTTCTAAATTTGTTAGTCTCACTAGAATTACAGGGTACCACCGAAGACTACAGCCACGACGTTCAAGGCGCCCATCACGTAGGAATGCGAGAGGTAGCCATCTTACAACGAGCCCAAATGCGAGAGGTAGCCATCTTACAAGGAGACAAGATGTTAAGCCTACTAGTGGTTACAATTTGCGACTATGCTCGCAGAACATGAGAGAATACCGAAAAACAGCAACAAGCGTCGGATCCGTTTCAATTTCAAACTTATTATTCATTTTGGCACTGGGCTTCTTCGTCGTGAAAACCACTGCGAATTCTCCGGAGTTGGGATATTTCGACTCGAAAGCAAGTTGCTGCACCTATTGGGCACAAACTTTACATGAAATCCATGTAAAAGGTTTGGACACACCACAAGGTAGGGAAATCACGTTCGTTCAGACCGCCAAAAACGAGTCACACGCTCAAGTTCCTTCATAAGAACATGAAGAACATTGAACATTGGAACTTTATAAAAAACAAAAATAATAAACCCGTGCCCCGCGTCAAGGGAGCTACAGCTACGCATTGAATGATTGTGACTGAATGCGAGACACACCGATTCTGGCGGATTCAATCCTAGTTCAGTTCAATCCAATAGTTGTGTTCATGGTTTTCATGACGTTAGAACGCAAACATTGGAAAAAACCGTTGCGGGCAACAGCTCAATCATTCCACAGAATAAAATGCTTCCACTTGCGCAACTTTCACAGACTAATCACCGCCTCAAGTATTGGGTCGGGTGCCACAAATTTTCTCGATGATGGCCCACCACCAAGACCCGCTTTCACAGATCCAGTATGAAGCATGAGCAAGAAACACTCTCANGAGCTACAGCTACGCATTTGAATGGTTGTAACTGTATGCGAGACACACCGATTCTGGCGGATCCAATCCTAGTTCAGTTCAGTCCAATAGTTGTGTTCATGGTTTTCATGACGTTAGAACGCAAACATTGGAAAAAATCGTTGCGGGCAACAGCTCAATCAATGCACAAAATAAAATACTTCCACTTGCGCAACTTTCACAGACTAATCACCGCCTCAAGTATTGGGTCAGGTGCCACAAACTTTCTCGATGATGGCCCACCACCAAGACCCGCTTTCACAGACCCAGTATGAAGCATGAGCAAGAAACACTCTCACTGCATTTCAAGTTCAATTATCTCTCTAAACAAAGCTCGAATGCCCTCAAGTACGTTAATTAAAACGTCCCTGACTTCAGGATGGCCACACGCGATATCGACGGAGATGCTGCATACCTCAGCAAACTACTCGTGAGGTCACAGCCAAACGTTGAGCAGCTTGATACCGAACTCGAAAAATGCTTTGATTAGATACGACGTTATATTACTGTGTCGCATACTGTTCGTGACCATTTCAAACTCATTCAGTCCGTGACTCCCTTCAAAAATGCCGGGACGGGGGAGAAAGTCATCCTTCTCACAGATCTCAGACACTCGGCCAGCGCTATAAAGAAGTACTTCTGTGAGTTCGGACGCGATTCGTACTAACTGAAAGGATCTACGCACTTCAAGCAAGTTCGGGAAGAATCTCCTCAGTTCGCTATGAAGTCTGGCCGGCTAAAGATGGAGAATCCCACAAGATAGGAGCTATCAGCTATGACAAGAGAGATGAAAATTCGACCTCTGATACAAGTATCAAGCAGACGGAAGAACTTCTAGCGAAAGCTGACAAGGATCTCAAAAAGGAAATTCCACAGACTACCCACAACAATCAAGTGAATTGGATGAGAACTTTAACAAGTCGCAGCAACTTCTAAAGCAGCAGACCGAAGAAATCATGTTCATGAAAACCAAACTGTTGTTATTGAAAAACTGTGTGACGGAGACCAGCACGTGGAACCGCATCACCAAGAACGACATCAAGCTGAGAACTCTCCAATCCAACCACGAAAAGATCTGGAAGTGACTGATGACGAAGACCTTTCCAAGATGAGTTGAATGACAAAGGCTGACGATGTTTTTATTAGTCCAAGTTGCTGCGAGATGCAGCACACTTTGAAGCGTCTGCAACAGCGTAACCTGTGCAAGGGACTTCGGGAGTCAACGAAGCTGGATAGAGTCAATGGAATATGCGCTAAGAAGATTTCCGGATTGCAAATTATTTGCCTTTTCGGATGGTGTGGAACCTCACCACTTTTGTGCTTTCTGCAGAGCGCAATCCGCCCATTTTTCGGACTCGTGTTCCACTGTCCGAGACGCACACACACGGAACCAGATTATCGGTGATAACTATTTGTGCCGCTTCTGCGTGGAGCAACTCGATGACAGATGCGGCCTGAAGCAAAAAGAATGCTGGAATTTTGTCAGGACCTTCGAAGACCTGATCCCCAGAAAGGTTCATCACAAAGCGTTGTGTCCCGTTCCTGACGATGAAGAGCAAATGCAACCATGGCTTGAAGACGCTCTCCGCCAATGACAGGAAATGGAATGTTGTAGCAGTTGGGGCGGCTGGGAGTGTTGCGGATAAAACACTCCACGATCTAGCGTTGCATAATCTTGCGGGAAAGAACTGTATAAAAAGCCGCCCAAACGAACAGATTTTCTCACACTGTTCTATTCTGTTAGTAATTCTGTTATTAACTATTGGGTTGTAACTAAGTTCGTAGAGTTTTGCGTTAGAGTTATTTTACAACGACTTTTTTTGATTTTTAGTAAAGTGTATACATTCATTCGAAAGAACTATTTCTTCTCTACAGAACTGTTTCATTTGCTTTCTGAATTATTCAATTGTTCGTCTTTTTCTGGCTTAGAAATGGAATATCCAGGAGGAAAAATCAGCATTTTCGACATCTGCTTTTCTTTGCTATTCATCGAGGCCAAAAAGCAGCCGAAGCCGCTCGGGACTTATGCAGTGTGTACGAGGAAGGTGTCATAGGTGTGCTTACTGGAGGAAATGGGTGGCCCCAGGAGAGACGCCGAAGTCGAGAGTCAAGCAAGATCTACAGGTCTGCGTTTTGTGGGGCTGGGAAGGCATGGTGCACAGGGAAATGCTCGAGCGAAACCCCACCGCCAACAAGGAGGTCTACTTTGCCCAGCTGAACAGTGTAAATGAGGCTATTCGGCTGAAAAGACTCGATAGACAAGGACAAGTCATCTTGCTCCACGACAACGCCAGGCCCCATATTGCCCAGGTCGTCAAAGCAGCACTTCTTGAGCTCAGGAGGTTCTTCAGCATCCACCGTACTCTTCGCACTTACCGAATATCACCTTTTCCGCTCAAACCAGATGAGGGGTTTTACCTTCGATGGCGAAGAAGATCTTAAAACTGGCTCAGCAAATTCTTCGACACCAGACTGGCTCAGCAAATTCTTCGACACCCGATGGCGAAGAAGATCTTAAAACTGGCTCAGCAAATTCTTCGACACCAGACTGGTCGATATTTGCGAAATGCATCAACAAATTGGACGAGAGGTGGGAGGAGGTTGTAAACAGTATCGAAAGATACATCATTGATTAACTTCTTATTATAATTATTGTTTCTTGCTAAATAAATCTTTGTGAAAAAACTCTACGAAGTTGTGTCACAACCCAATATTATTATTGTTTCTGTGTCGTAACCGAGTTTAATTACCCAAGTTTGGAGCTCCACTGAAGCGTTGTGCTTTGGCCGTCGGTACTTACATCTCAGAATCCGCGTGGCGAGACATGTGACGCATGAAATGTGTCCTTAGACAGTTTTCACTCACTGAATAACATGACCCTGTTACCAATGTATGGCCACTTCCAATGATACGTGATGGTTCTACCTTTCAGATCGACAAAAGCGGGAGCATCAATGGTGGAGCGGCTGGCTACTTTTCAGAAACGGTGATTCGTAGAGTAACGAAACTCTCCCACAAATGTGAATATGTTTCGATCTTCTGGAATAATCAGCAAAGGAATAGGAATCGCAATTGAAGGTAATATCTGCCAAGTCCAGCTCGTATGATTCGTAGAGATGAGCTGTCCACTTCAAGTTGGAGGAATAGTGCCAAGTATTGCCGTTACCCTATCCGTAGTCTAGGGATCAATGAAATCGATCTTGCCTTAGTGAAGTTTTCCCTAAATTTCTTCGTTGTTAGAAATCTCTACAATGGTTCGTGCAGCATCGTGCTGTGGAACTGCGTTCCGAAACTATTGTCGCGAAACGCAAGCAATGCACCACTGACTGAAATTTTGTGCTGCTTCACGCAATAGAAACGATCCGCATTATTGCCACTTTGCTCTCCACTCGTTTGAATAATTTATTTAGGATTAAGAAGACTGCAGATGATTTACTGTTTTTTATAGAGACAAACAGCAGACACGTAATCATTCTTCGTTTCTCTTGTGCTCATATAGCCGTTGCATCCGTATATCGTTCCTGCGGGGAGACTTTCGAGCTGAACAAAGTCTTTCAATTTTAGGCAATCCATCACGGTATGCGAAGTTTTTCGAGAACGACTTTCAGTGATCACATTTGTTCTCATTAAACCTCAACACAACTCACCATGCGGGGGCACGAATGAAGAGCTAAGGTTACTTCTTACTTCTAAGACCTATCTTGGCTCGCCACCCATCTTCATAAAAGATGGGACAATATTCCTAGCATTTAGCGGCAACTTAATAGCCTCGATATGATCTACTCACTTCTGCTTCTGCTTCATCGAACTGGATCTCCAAGACGTCGACTATCTTTTGCCACACTGGCTTGTCATTCGCATTGACAATCAAACTGAAAATTCGTGAATAAAATGAAAAAAAGGAAAAAGTTCCGAACAAGCAGACACAAACCTTCTTCCTCCAACAATCAAATCAGCTTCCACACTTTGTCGGTAGTCTGAAGACTTAAGCCAGTCCAATGCCTTTTTTGCCCACTCATCACTCCAAACCTATCAATTGTACATCATACATCATTTTGCAGTCCTGAGCTGGATCTGCTGATGAAACTAACTAGATCATTGGTGTACATACTGTTGATTGTCTCAAACGTTTCTTTATCGTCTAGTGGAGTTTCCAAGTCTGAAAAGAAAGCTTTTGGGTCATGCCAATACAGCATCACGAATACGTGATTTCTTCTCGGCTTAGTGAAGTCAAACTTGATTTGAAGCACTCACCCTCAGCAGAGGAAATTGGCACAAGTACAGCTAGAATTGGGAAAAGCAGGAACATTTGGATGTGATGCAATATCCTCGAAATTCCTCTTTTATAGGTAGTGATGGTGTATTCCATTTGCACCTGCTTTTACGTACAAATATAATTCATCGCCAGAGCTGCTCTGAAAAAAAGCTTGCAAAGATCTGTCAACAATCCTCTATTGAACTGGATGCTCACTTATGCGGCTGAAGTTGAGGAAGCTACGCCTTTATGGGTTATCACCTCCAATCGCTAGAGGAAACAAACTGCCTAGTGGCTTTAGCGAAAACTGTAGAGTGAAATTGTGGCTTATCAGCTCTGTCAATATGGTGTCAATGGAATAACATGATAGCAATCTCCGAAGTCGTCAGTTGCAATGGCTTCTACTGGTATGTGCATGAGACATGTGACAGTTTCGAAATGCCCAGTCACATCGCGACTTGCGAAACTTTGCGAGAGCTGTGCGTGGCGTACGGTAGAATGCTTGAAAATTCCATTCGACGACGAATTATACACTACCAGGCATTCCTTCGGAAGTTATCAACTAGTTAGTTGTTTCATTTGAGGACAATGCTTCCTATTACCACTCGGTGTCTCGATGGTTCGAGAGCTTCTAATCTAAGGACGATGATGGATGGCTGTTATGAATATCTCGCACCAACAAAGCGATGAAACCTCGAAGTTCCCGAAGCGAATCCGAGATCTGCCATGCAGTAAGTACCCGTGTCACTTGGGGTAACCCACACGACACCCATATTATCATGGCTTGGTAGAAGTCTACGTATTCTAATTTCAATCACTAAGGAAACAGACGAGGTCCACCGGGTGAGCGCCTGCCAGTCTTTGTCTGTCGTCCTCGCTCGAACCACTTCTAAAGGAGTTTCTCACTACAGTCTACTAATGAGGAAAGCCACCCTGTGTCAATTATATGTATGAGGAAGGAAAAGTTCTCTGTTTGCAAGAGAGACGCGACTTGGCCTCTACTGAAAGAAAAGATTATGTTGCTCGGTGGTGCAATTGTGCACAGGTATGCTTCACTTTGAGTTGCTCAGAGGTGTTGGTGCCATGAGAACTGCTAAGTGAACGATGCTAACCAACTGCAGAAACAACTTGGATTTGGAACAAAATAATAGGAAAAATCAGCGAACTGTGTAGCTATACGATAGTGCTCACTCGCATGTTGCAAGGATTACATAGAATAAAGGTGCGGTGCTTTGTCATGGCTAGGGTAGTCCCCTAACCTGGACGCACCCACTTCGAAACATCATTCAGAAGAGCATCTTCGATGGTTCTGTCATAATCGAATCCTCAATTCGAAAGTTCTCTAAATCACAGTCCACGAAGCTCTCTGAGAATGGCATTGATTAAATGCCGAAGCGTCAGGCACAAGGGATAGAAAACAATAACCATTCCAGTGCTTATTAATGTCCGCTCAATAGTAAATAGTTAAGCCTTGAGAATGTCGATTGTATGGCTACATTTTTGTACCCCATTTTGTTCAACCATGGGAAAAAGACAAACCTGTGAACTATGACATTAGTCGGAACCTGAATGCTCGAATAGAGCACAGCTGATGGCAATGTTAATATATCGGCGATTGAAGGAAGTGTTAATGTTGTTGTAGCGTCAATTTCAAATTCAGGTCATAGCTGGGAAAAATGGAGATTTGAATCTCACTTCTATCCAGTAAAGAGTGCAAATAGCTAGATATCGGTTTGTACGTAGTACCCACGGCTAACTCAACATTGGAACGGTAGAACTTCATAAAAACGGATCCGACGCCNCAGTACAGCTGACGAACTTGGAAAATTGCAACAATGCCATTCCATTGACTCCATAATGATGGAGCTACTAAGCTACATTTGATCCCTTTTTTATTTTCACTAAAGCAACAGGCCGTTTGTTTCCCTGTAACGATTGGAGGTGATAGCCCAAGACCGCGTCACATTCTCAACTTTCGCTGCAGAAGTAAGCAACCCAAATCAAACGAGGATTAGATTAGGAACGATAGTGCTAACTAATCTCTTGCAAGCCTTTTTCACAGAAAACCCCTGGCAATGAATTATATGTATGCGTAGTGGCAGGTGCAAATAGAATCACCATCACTACCTATAAAAGAGGAATTTCGAGGATATTGCATCACATCCAAATGTTCCTGCTTTTCCTAATTCTGGCTCTCCTTGTGCCAATTTCCTCTGCTGAGGGTGAGCACTCAAATGAAGGTTGAATCCACTGAGCCTAGAAAAAACCATTTCATATATTTGTAGTGCTGTATTGACATGACCGAAAAGCTTTCTCTTCAGACTTGGAAACTCCACTAGACGATAAAGAAACGTTTGAGACGATCAACAGTATGTACACTAATGACTTGGTTAGTTTCTACAACAGGTTTAGCTCCCAGCTGCAAATGATGTATAATACATATAATGTACAACTGATAGGTTTGGAGTGATGAGTGGGCAAAAAAGGCATTGGACTGGCTTAAGTCTCCAGACTACCGACAAAGTGTGGAAGCTGATTTGATTGTTGGAGGGAGAAGGTTTGTGTCTGCTTGTTTGGAACCTTTTTCTTTTTTTATTTTCTCCACAAATTTTCAGCTTGATTGACAATGCAGGTGACAAGCCAGTATGGCAAAAAATAGTCGACGTCTTAGAGATCCAGTTTGATGAAGCAGAAGCAGAAGTAAGTTTCATCGTGGCCATTGAATTTCCAGTGATTTCGCAAGTGCATAGTGATCGAGAAAAAGGCAAAGAATATTGAACCGTCTCCTCCGAAAATGTTCCAATGAGTGTGGCCAGCTATGATAGGGTCCTCGATATCACCCTAGAACTCTTAGGTCTACATTCTAAACCACTCATCGTGATTCGTGAAAGATTCGATGTAGACAAATGTTATTAGAGCATGCTGTGCCCGGGCAACTTCGCCCTCTATATGACATGGTTGACAAATCTGTATAAGTTGAAAATCTGTGTTCAGCTCGAGCGCCTTCCTCCAGGCACGGTATACGGATGTAACGGCTATATGAGCACAAGAGAAACAAAGGATGACTACGTGTCTGCTGTTTGTCTCTATAAGAAGCAGTAAACTATTTGAATCTTTTTTCAATGTTTCTGTAAAAAACAGTAAATCATTTGCATATTTCTCGACATATACAGGTTATATGAGCAAATAGGGAAAGCTTAGAGTAGTGGAACTCAGCATCGAGTAGTGATGTTGCTTTCATATACGCCAACAGTAATTTGCAGTGCCATTTAGCAACGTAACCCTGCATAAACTATTCGATGTATCAACTACAAAAAGTTTTTTCTCCCAGAAGAAGATGCTTTCGGTTAAGCGAAATCGAAGGGGTTTGAGGAGCAGTCTCTCTAATAAGAGTCTATCCTGAGTTGGTTTTCGGATCGTGCGGCACAACTTAGCGCTATCGCCCTCGTCTTTGAAGTAGAAGGATTGGTCAGAAAAATTATCTGGGACATTTCACTCAGCCACTCCTCGGTCATTGAATCGTTGAGGCTACAATCGGAAAAGGGACCTTCTCGAGTTGAACCGACACCCATGATATCCTGGTCGCGATAGCTCAAACGGTTCCCATTGCTATAAGTATTTGTCATAGTAAATGTATAGATATGGGCTGATTTAATAGAGGAGCGCTGTTGAGCCTTTCTCGAATACGAAACTTNTCGGTCATTGAATCGTTGAGGCTACAATCGGATAAGGGACCTTCTAGAGTTGAACCGACACCCATGATATCTTGGTCGCGATAGCTCAAACGGTTCCCTTTGCCATAAGTATTTGTCATAGTAAATGTATAGATATGGGCTGATTTAATAGAGGAGCGCTGTTGAGCCTTTCTCGAATACGAAACTCAGAGGATATCTTAAAGGGTACCTTATCACTTGTTCTGGAACAACTACTTTCCCTATTCCTTGATACCGCTTTCTTCACATAATGAACAATAGATCATCACTTAGTGCGGAAATAATGTGGAGAAAATGAAGGCAATTACGCGTTGTGTGACACAACATAACACATGCAGTGACACGGGGACGCATCCGAGGTAAAAGAGATTGATCAACGACAAAGACTCTATCACTTATCTTGAAGAGTTTATAGGTCAAGTACTCGAACGATTACTGTTAAAATTTTCATCCTATGTATGTATATGCTTCATTATTAATGATGCAGCCTCTACAGGTTCGTTAGAACAAGGCCCCTTCTGGGAGCGGTATACAATGGAGATTATTTTTGTGCCATCGTAACGTACTTTCTAGACCGTTTTTTCGTGTGCTATGCTACTTAGCCACGGATCCGTTCTTGTAGAGATTTTCGAAAACCTTACTCATCCTGGACTGAACAGACGGGAGTATGAAAAAGCCGAGAAAGAATGAATCAAAAGCATGATTGGGATGAGCTCATACTGCCGGCATTCAGGGCAAGATCATAACAGATCTGATATATCTTTGCTGTGAGTTCCTTGACACATGAATTTCATTTGTGCCTGCTCCCGCGATGGTCGGTATGACTTTTGGATGCTGTTCAGCACACAAATTATTGAAAACGGGAAGTGTGCCCCACAACTGGACGGAAATGGGTATAAGAAGGGTCTGTCTTTTACGGTTTGGGGACTGGCTCCAATGTCATTCACTCGTATGATTGCCTGCTGCATGGTCTCCAGAAACTGATTTAGCGGCGGCAAGTAAACCAGCTTTCCATTACATGACGTGTTCAACATAGTATTTTGTCTGTACCTGTCTTGAAGTTCAGTATGACCGTGTCCTTCACAGCTGGTCGGGTAATCATGAATCTCTATCATCTTTCATCTACCTCCCTAGCGGCACCCTATCCAGTGTGATTGAAAAGCAATGCCGTTTTTTAGTGGACACACTTGAAGTCCCGTGTCTCGCAGCCGCTGCAGGACAACTTTCGCCTCGAACCTCCCCTTCTCTTTTCTCTTAGTGTTCTTCTGCATTGCAGATCCTTAAACACTCAGTGTATGCGAAATTTCGTCTTTACAACGAACCGCAATTTCACAATTCTAAGCCACAACAATCACGATTACCCTTACAAAGCTACGCTCCTTCGTCGCTATAAGGAATAAAGAAGAGAAAATCCTTCCCACGTCAACAGATCTAGACACTGCCACAAGACAGTTTCATTTAATGAATATTCCAAAAAAGTTCCATCGTTTAAACAATGTTATTCGAACACCAACACACTCTAAGACCCTGAAACCCTGAACTTCCAGATTTTCCGCCTCGATACATATTTTACTAATACGATGTTATTACTTTTGAACCTCTCGCGACGCTTCGATGGGGTAAGGTCACTACCCTCTGCGGACCTTCACGGATTCGCCCGCCATATTTTCTGTTTTTATGATTCTGAAATATAACAGCCTCTCACTCTGCCGATGACTTTGGGCAAGAAATGGGCATGGGCTCTGCTTTACCAGCGGATCTATGCAGAATAAAGGTGAGCGCCTGCTCAGCTTTAAGCTGCTGTGCAACCATGTTAACAACATCCTATCAGTTGTAGGTAGCGTGACGACAAGTGGTTCCTTTTGCCAACACACAAATGGATTGGGCGATACTATTCGCGGAGAGAGTTGCACCGGAAATGCTCCGAAAAAGTGTTCCGATCGAGTCCATGTCTGGGTATCAGCTCATGACCAAACAGATTTTCACGAAGGCAGTTCAGGATAGCTAAAAAGCTCTCATCGAGCTGTGATGTAGTGATGAAACCTGTTTGGTTGTTGGGGAATCGAAGACTTTAATGGGCTAGTTACCGGGAGCCAGCTCCTTTGAAGAGTGCCTCAAAGATGGTCATACTGACTTGCAACCGAAAATTAGAAAGGTGCCTTGTTGTTTTCCTTATATGACAAATACTATCAATTCATATGTGAAGACGGCTCTGCTCAAAAGGGTTATGATTAATGTGTTTCGGGTGGTCGAAGCCCTCCCACAAAACAGCAACAGGTCCGCAACCGCCTGTTTAACTAAGCTCAGCTTTGAACCCTCCTCCCTCCACTACCTTCCCTCTCTAACCCGACCTTTCCCCGAATCCTTCTTAACCCCCACTCCAACTGTGTTATCTGACCTGCAGGCATAAAGGTGAATATATGATGACGAGGAGCTACCTACAAGCTCCGCGGAACGAGAGTACAAGCTACAGGAAGCTCATCCGCTCAGACCAGTCAGGTGTTCCTTCACTCTAAGAAACAGAACGACTCTGTAGAGTTGAGGAAGATCTGGTTTGTCTGAACAGAACAATGCCTAAAACCTCCCTGAGTGAGGATTGGGGAATGCCACGAAGGTGCGAGGTCGAGCTCACAAATAGGAATGCCGAGGTCGAGCTCACAAATAGGAATGCCATGTGAGAACTCATGACTTTTGTGGATTTTGGGAACATTTTAAAGCGGCTCGAAAAGTCCCAGAACAGTAATGGTTAAAGCTTGTACATAAGGAACAAGCTCACTCTATTCCCTGAACTTCGTGATCTTCAATCAAGGCGAGGGTCAAACCAACTGAAGGCCAACTGTGAAAGAGTTCAGTGGACGTTTACTGGGACTATGTTTACTACCGTCTTGTTGTTGATTGAAGAAGAGCCATAACATCATAACTTAGAAGGTCGATTCAGGTATCGCCAGCTCTCGTTCGAACTGCTTTTGAAAAACTAAATTCAGTTTGGTTCTGTCGATATTCGACTGCCCATCATGCCCGATATTTTCCATCTTCCTTCGCCCATTTTTAGGGGCCAACTACTTCATTTGGTGAAAATTTGGCGATTTACAGGAGGGAGCATAATCGTGGGAAAATGTAAGGCAGGATTCGGTCTAGAACAACTGCTGACTGGTTTGGTTCTGCCATATGTGAGAACTGGCTGCAACAGTTTTTGCCGCTATTTGTTGTCGTATTCGTTATGAATCACTTCAGGAGACACGACATTGTTTACTGTGGGACCCCTTCCAGCAAGAAGTCCGCACTATGATCGAATCTGTACTTGGTTCGAACGAGCTCAGTTTCGAGCAGGGTAGACAAATCGTTACTGAATATATTGCCGCCGCAAGATGTGACATTAATTTGTGGGTGGCGGAGGGCCGCCTACCGTACCTACATGGGCTACCACGTGGCTGCGAACGACTGACAGCCGGGCTCACGGTTTGAACTAGACACTTTGACGCCAAGTGACTTTTGGTCTAAGTGCTCATCTCACACCCAAATATGCGTTGTCAGGTTGCTAGCTCAATTTTGAGAGTCACAGATGAGTTTTAAAACGGTTCAAAGTGAGCTTACCAGTTTTATAGCCGTTCAGATGCATATGTAAGCACTAGTTTACTGTCATAGCTCCCCATATAATTGTTTTATGATCCATCGCGCACGATGTTTTTGCTTGTCGATAACACGCCACGGCTCTATTCTCATTCGAAGCTTTTATGTGAGCCAACAGATTACACTGTTGGCAATAAGTTACTGTGTAATGTTGTGTTCTATCCCGGATCGGCCCTCTTGTAGAGTCTGACGTAACATGGGAATATGAACGAAGTCTTTGGAAGAAACATTACTAGTGCAGAGTAACCTATGAGCGGAAAAAGCAGAATGGGGACAGGTAAGTAATGGCAAACTTATACATATCTTTGAATACTCGACTCGATCATCGGAAACTGTGTTATTATGAAGATATGCCAAATGCAGCTGCTGCAGCTCGCACTTCTCGATCGCTCAGATCTCGATCGAATCTTTACGGAGCACAGTTTTTTTTTTTGTCTGGAAAGGTTCTCACGTAGCGGCCCTGTGTAGGGGATGAGATCCCAGAGGTAATCAGGGTTTCAACTTGGATCGATAACAACACCACAGCAACCTATACAATTCGTGTGTGGGCTTTCCCATGCTGAGTGCAAATTTAACATTTTTTAACATTACTACTGCATTGAATAGAGCTATTTCCGCGGATATTCAATTTACCCGACGTATTTTTTTTTTGAGTAAGGCCTAAATCACCTACCAGCACCTATAGACTGACACCAGTAACGTCAACCCGAAAGTATCCGGAAATTTGCCGGTTCCTCATTCAGAGTTTTTTAGTGAATT